TTGTGTTTTTAAAAAACAAAAAACAATCAGATACAGTTGGCAAAACGGAATATTTTTTCACCAAAAATGAATAGTTTTCAAAATAATAAAAATAAGCTAAATTTTAATACCTAAATTAACGGGAAATTAATCGTAATGAGTAAAAAATGACACAAGAGATCAACTTTTTTGATCATATTTGAATGGTTCTGGAGCCTCGAAAAATAATACCATCAAATAAAAAAGCATTATTTCCGATACATATCGTCAAGCGAAAAAATTGTCTTCGAGAGAAGTACATAATTTATTATTGTGTGTGTGTGGGATAATCCAGATTTTGATAAAACGTTCGTGTGTATTTCTGAAAAAACAAATTAAACGGGCCTGAAAACGTCCGTTATAAATTATAGTCAATTAAAGTCGTTTATGTTCTTTTAGATACGTTGACAGCGGGGTGTACACCAAGGGTGTCCTTGAAGATGTTCATTTTAGAAAGCGTGATGGCTTGAAATAAAAAAATTTTTAAAATATCATCTTTTGTTGTGGATAGACTTTTAAGAGTTTTTATAACAACATTGATTATTTTATTAAAATGTATACAAAATGTTTTTGGTCTTTAAAAAGAATTGTAGTGGTTTGGAAATATTTGATGACATTTTTAATAAATAATAGTAAAAACAATAATTTAAAATATCTTTAAAGGTTTTTAATAAAAAAATAAAAATGCCTTCAATTAACAAAGATTTTTTTCCGATTATTTTTTAACTCGAAGGTGAAAAACTTTCATTCGAAATACATTCATGAAACCCAAGTATCAAACCCAACGAAAACAACCAGAGTTCAAAGCGGCAGTTATTTGCAATGCCAACCGACTCAAAGGGAGGCTCGAGAACTAGCCCAAAATTTTCGCAAGATTCAAAGCCTTGGAAGAAGAAGTGAATCAACAACAATTTATGAGAGAACAAGTGGAGATCATGCTGTCTGAGTTCTATGATCTCTTACTTACCCGCAAAGGGTGGATTGAAGATTTTAACGTGTTCATGGGAGGAGGGAGAATCGCGGGGTCACAATTGAGAAAGATATTCAGTACTTTAAAAAACAAGGTAACATTCCTCTTTTGAATCTCGACGAGAGGAATGCTCTAAATGCTTTCATATCAAAGTGACAAGAAAAGAGAAAGTTTGTAACTCATCATCAATATTTTCTAAATAAAAACAAAAAATTTAATTGTAATTAATAAAAAATATATTTTTTGGAATCAAATTTTAACCATTTTTGTCAAAATATTTCAAATAAAAAATTAAGATATGGTATTATTTTTAAAATAAAATAATAATAGTCATAATGAAAAACCCTCAAACTACAATTTAAAGTATAAAGAACAAAAAAGATCAAAAGTCAACACTGCTCAACACGGCTTTATCGAGCCCACTTTCATTTCTTATATTACATTACAACAAACCCATTTATTGCTTATAATTTGATATATTTTTCGTTGTTTTTAATTTTATATCTGTTTTAATTATAAACCAAAAATAAAAAAGATATTTTTTATTTTTGAACACACTTTTTTAATCTTGGCATATTTTCATTTTGGTAAAAACGTTTCAAAAATTTATTAATACCCATAGAAATCTTCCAATTTGTTCTGTAACCCCTCTGTCGCCGGTAATGGCTCTGTGGCCTACTTATAATCCGGGTTTAATTCACTTAAAATATTTTGGAATTATCGGGTTTAATTCCACTTTTTTCAAAAAATTATTTTAAATGATTTTTAAAATAAAAATAATTAATGAAAATAACTTTCGGTAGTTTCGTAGTTATAATTATTTTATAATTATTTGATTCAATCAAAAACAAATGGTGATGGTAAAGGCTTTTTCATTGTCTTTAAAAATAAAGTTTTTTAACTATTTAATATGATAATTTAATTAAAATTATAGTAAATGGGAACTTGGGATAATATTTGGTCTGGTTCCCGAATTAAAAATGTGTCGATAATTCAACTCGAAATAGTGGAAACCAAGTGAGAAGATAATCAAAAAGAAGGCACAGGCGGTCTGTTTGTGCACCCGTTCCACACACTCTCAATGTCCTCCTTGGCGCGGATCCCAATGAACGCCCCGTTTGAAAAGGGAACTTTATCAGTGTCCAAAGTACGGAGGAGGAAACTGAGCGACATGGGGACGCACAAACAGTGACTTAAAGATGGACTTCCT